ACCCTCAAGGTCCTGCATTCCGGCCTCAGACCCTCGCTCGGTGAGGGCAGAGCAGCGACCCAGCAGGTGAAAGGACGCAGGGTCTGCGCGACGGGAGCTGGCCAATCAGAGCCGCCAGAGAACAAGCCACGTGGGGGGGCCCGCGCGGGGCCCGTGGAGGCTGCAGAGGGGTGGCTTGCCCGCAGAGGCCGGGGGCGGGGCCAGGATTGTGGGCGGGGCTCCCGCGGCTTGCGAGCCTCTGGCCGCGGCTAGGAGGGGTGTTCGCCGCGCCGCTCACGCCGGAATCCAGTCTCGCGGGGTCTCGCACGGTCTCCTCCGCTGTGGAGTCTGGACTGCCGCCGCGACCCAACCAATCCCCTTCCCCTTCGCAGCTTCTGCGTCTGCGCCCTTGCTGCTTTCTGCGCGCGCGTCTCATAAATAACCAAATTTCGGATGTGAGAATCACAAATGAGGAGACATGGGTTGTTCTTACGGACTAACAAAACATGAAAAAGATCTTTAAAAGAAGTAAACTCTTGACCGTGTCCTTTCAGAACTTTAACCTGTTTCCTGAAATACGTCACCGACAATGACAGGGAAATGACAGGAAAAGGGTAACTTAAATTCCCCCACATCCTCATAGAACAGCCCCCGCCAGTTCTCAGATCCCGCAGAGGGCTGGACTCCATCCCCCGACCCTAGGGCTCGCGGATACGGAAGGGGAGGCTGTGCCCGCCCTGCTCCAGCGGGGGTCACACGTAGTCTGTGCGTCTCCCCGCCGCAGGTGGCCCAAGGTCAGAGGCCTGAGTGGGAGTGAGACCTTGAATGCGCCCAGTACCCGCATCAGGAGGGGAAGGGGGGATGCTCTGTGAGGGGCGCGTGTGGATCTGTGCGCGTGCGTGCGCGCGCGCGCGCTCTCGGTGAAGTCTTTCTGCGGCTCGTGTGGGGTGTGGGCATGGAATTGGTTAAGGCCAGAAAAGTGAAACCTGGAGGAGAGGCTCCTCCAGTGTCACTCCAGAACCTCAGACTGTCAACCCTCTGGACCCCCGTCTCACTCACAATCCTTTTAAATTTTTCTAGAGCAGGCCAGGCATCAGTATGATATTAAAAATCTCTCCCGATGACCAGAATGTGCTACAAGGGTCGAGAACCACTGATCTAGGCCGAGTCGCACACACAGTAATGAATGCTTTCTTTGTCATCTCTAAAATTGAATTAATACTTGTCTGGAGCAATGGAGGCCCAGAGAAGGGATTGAATTATCCAGGATCTCACAAAGATTAAGTGATAGTGGCCCAAGAATTCCTCTTTAGCAGGTCCTATATATGAAACTGCTTTGTGTGGGCAAAGAGAGGAATTATTGATGGGGCTGACAACTCAGACCTTGTCTCTGAGGAGAAACTGGGGCTGAATCTGCTGCGGGTTAGGGACTCAGAATGTCTCTAAAGCTCTGTCCCTCCCTTAATTTAGATGTAGAGACTTTAAGCAGCAAGTTTCTTATGATAAATTGCAAAAATTGCCCTAAATTCATCTCATCCCATTTCTGTTTGCACCCCATTTTGCACTGTGACTTTGCAGCTCCTCCCATCAGCAGGTGGAATTTATTTCTCTATCCCTTGAATCTGGGCTTGTCCAAGTGATTTAACAAATGTGACCTAAACAGATGCTTGAAGAGCCTGGTGCATTGCAACTTGTCCCCCTCTTGATTCTCTCATAACCCTGAGACAACCAAGTGAAAGAGGCTGAGCTCCACTGCTGGGGGATGAGGCACCCTGTCAACAGCCTGCAAACTGCCAGACTTGTAGGTGAGATCCCCCAGATCACCCGGTGCCAGCTGACTCTCCCGTTGATATAGACAGGTGAGAAGGCACAGCAGAGTTCAGCTGACTCAGCCCTGACTACAAGAGCCACCAGCTGACCTACAGAATTGTAAGCAGAATAAAGGGTAGCAGCACCAAGTTTGGGGGTGGTTTGATACTCATCAAAAATTGACTGACACATGCTCAGCGCGTGGCCGTGAAATAGTCTTCTACAACAGCGACAACGTGGCTTGTCCTTTAGGAGCAGTAACCCTTGGTTCTGAGCAAAATCCCAGATGCATCCAGCTCCTTGTCCTCTCCCCTGCTACCCCCCACCCTTTTTCGTTTTTGTATTCCTCCATTTCTTACAAGAGGAAACAGAAGTGGAGATTAATGAAGGGGTCTAGGCTCCAGTGATGTTTTCACCTCCAAACTGCAACATTCTCCACTCTCACATCCTCAGAAAGGTTTTCCCATCTGACCTCCCAGCCCACAGTTATCAAAGCCCTCTGCGGTTCTCAGCTCCTGGAGGGGTTGGGATGACAGCCAGAGCTATGGAGGCAGAAGAGGGGGTGGAGGAAGTGGGGAGAGGGGGAGGAGAGAGACAAGAATATATCAACAATGTTCATATGCTGTGACTCAGGAATTTGCTTTCAAAAACCCACCCTGAAGAAAAACAAGAAGGGTGAATACCTAGTTATATACAATGATGTTCGTTTGAACATTAGTTATAATTGCAAGAAACAACTTGAATGTATATGAGTCATTGTGAGATTGCTGCAGTCATTTAAAAGCACATATTAAAATAATTTTTAACGCCGCAGAGAAAAGCTCACACTGAGAAAAAAATGCAAGATTGAACATACATATGGAGAAGATGATTTACCACTACAGTAGAGGTGTTTATTTCTTAGAACTGGGAGTATAATTTACTATATTTTACAGTCTAATAATAAATAGCTATTAATTTAATCGTTAGATATTTGTATCTATTTTCATATTTACATATAGAAAGAGGACAAGAGACGGGGAGGTGGCAGTGGTACTATCTCTGAAAAGTTGAGCTGAGACCGGATGTGGGTGGAGATGGTTACTAGGATGTGAGCTGAGGATGCAGGGGTGCTAGAACAGGGAGACAGACGGAAGGTGGAAAGGCAGTAATGGGTGCATTCCTGGCCTAGTTACCACTGTAAGCATTTGGTTTCCATATCACTGGATGTCCTCTGAGGCACTCTGTAAAATGGGTCTCAGAATTGTTCCTTTGAAGGTCATTTGGCTGGAACCTTTATCCACCCACTCCAGTTCTACTCTGAAGGTTCCCTCCTGGGATGTTAATTCTCCCTACACTTCCTGTCTGCCTAGCTGGTGATCAGAATGAGCTCACCCAACTTCAGAAAAAGAGGACAGGAAAAAGACTGCTCTGAACCTAGAACACAGCATGCTCAAAGGCCCTTGGCCAAAATGACCTTGGCATTGTCTAGAACCAAAGAGAAGGCCACTGTATATGGAAGATGAGAAACAGGGAGAGCAGATTACAAACAGATCCCGATTTACGATGGTTCGATTTAGGATTTTTTGCATTTAGACTGGTGGGAAAGCGGTAGGCATTCAGTAGAAACTGTACTTGTAATTTTGAATGTTGCTCCTTTCTCGGGCTGGCTATATGCTTATGATACTCTCTAGTGATGCTGGGCAGCCGCGTGGAGCTGCAGCCCCGCCAGGCACACAATCACGAGGATAAACAACCGATACATTGACAACAATTCTGTACCCAGACAACCATTCTGTTTTTCACTTGTGGTACAGGATTCAATACATAACGTGAGATATTCAACAATTTATCATAAAATAGGCTTTGTGTTAGATGACTTTGCCCAACTGTAGGCTTATGTAAGTGTTCTGAGCACGTTTAAGGTAGGTGAGGCTAAGCTAAGCTGTTCAGTAAGTTAGGTATGTTAAATGCGTTTTCGACTTAAAATGTTTTCAACTTAACATGGGTTTATTGGGACATAACCCCATCGTAAGTAAAGGAAGATCTGTATTAATCCAGAAAGGCGAGGTCTGTGGGGCCAGAATTTGCCTTCTAGGCTATGGTAAGTGGTTTGGACTTTGCCTGAGAACAGAGGCTTTCTGTGTCAGTTGGTCTATTTATGTTCCTCTGCCTCCCTCAATTGCTATCCTTCTATCCTTCCTGCTGTGCCCTGTGTGTGTCTCTGGTCCTACACCACAGAGTCCCATATACTATATGTACCTGACCCTACATGAAATTCCAGTGGGAGGGAGTGCCAAGAAGGTATGAGGAAGGGGCACTATATTTCTGGCTAACTATGTACCCGATGCTGCCCAAAGGCCCCACTCACTGGTAAGGGAGTTACCCAGACTGGATTTGTGAGACACTGGGCTGGGTGGGAGTGGGAGCCCCAGCCACATACTCCCTGCAGCTCTCTGATGAATCTTGCTCAGAATTTTAGCAAGATAGAGTTGCCAAAGTTCATGTACTGGTGAACAAGGAGGAGCTCAAGGGACCATAGTATATTCCCAATCCTATAGCTGTGAGTAGAAAACACTAATAACTAATAACCTTAAGTTTGTTATTGTGAACATTGGAGTCCTACAGGGCATTCTGCATCATCAGATATTTCAACATATTTAGAAGGGTTTAATTTATTGGAATCTAATTCTTTGAAAGTTGATCAACTAGTTTTGATCATAATATATGGTCTCACACACAGAACAGCAACTCTAGTTTCCTCAAGCAAGCAAAAAACACAAACAACAAAAGAACAGGAATAGATTGGGAGGATACACTGGGCAACTCACAAAAGAAATCACTAACCTACTAGGCATTTAGCGATTTTGTGACATTCTTTGGTCATCATTAATGTTGGTGTTTCAGCTAATGTCACCATGGTCCTACCATTAGCCAACTCAGCTATAACTTAGGTTTGACGTGGAATGTACTTTTCAAAATAAATCTGTGTATAGGTAAGGCCTATTTGATCATATCTTATTCATAATAAAGACTGCCAACAATCATTCCAGCAATAACTATTCACTGAGATGTTAAAATATTTCAAGATAGCTGGCTCTAGTACCTGAAAGATACCAAATTCTTTTCCAGTACTGAGTTCCCCATCAAAATTCATGTTTATTATTAATCTCCTCCCCATTTGAAGCATCTCACTGTAAGCCACTTTTAATTCTCCTCTCACACTTTACTTAGTTACTGCCCAGGCAGAGCTCACTAGATCTGGTTGCCATCTGCACTTACTATGTCATCCAGGGTTGAAGCTCAGATTATTAATCAACATAGTGGTTAGAAGAGTCACTGCTATTTTGATTTTCCTGCTCTTTTTTTCAGTTGGCAGAGACAATTGCAGCTTTCCCTTACTCTCCACCCATGAGTTCAAATGGCATCAAACTGGAAGAACTCAGACTTCCTGACCTCTGGGTCACCCTGCTGGTCACCCAAGGACTCTTGGAAATCAAAGCTCTGAACCCATTGAAGAGGGATGGAGAGGGAAATGTATGATCATTGCTATTATCTTTCCTCCAGCTCAGGCCGACCATCTGTGGTATTTTTACAGTCTTTATATCCATTAATTCAATTCAGATTTATTAAGTCTTCACTAAAAGCCTAGCACTGTTTTAGGTACTGGGAAATAACAATGAAGAAAACAGACCAAATTTCTGCCCTCACAGGATTTACATTATATTCTCTATGTTAGTTAAACCAAGAAGGAGACTTTGCTCCTTTCCTTACTCATTTGGGGGAGGCAGGAACAAAGGAGAATATTGATAAACCTGGAAATAGGGCCGGAGAGTATCAGAGAAGGAGGCCTTTGGGAAGGTGAAGATGTGGGAGCCAGTAGTCATGTTGTAAAAGGATACAACTCCGGCCTCATAGTCAAGAAAAACCCCCACAACCAGGGGCCGCTCTTTCAGATGCAGGGAAGTTGAGGGAGAGGTAAGGGCCACATAGCCTTTCTTTTTGCACAGCCTGATGGCCCAGAATCCAGACTGAGAAATCTGCATCATGCAAATGTCCCTCTGCACATTTTCCTCACAAACTCCTAAATCCCATCCAGTTCCTTCTCCCACATCCACTTCAAAGTAATGTCTTCCTGAGGTGAAGCCCTCACAGCCCAGGATACAGGGTAAGGCACTAAATCTCCTTGAAGTGTCAGGCTTCTCCTGGGGGCCTCCACGAGTCACTTGTCTCCGATCCTCAGACAGAATTAGTTCATGATGAGCTGTATCTGGATCCAGAGTCACGCTGACTGAAAACAAACAAACAAACAAACATGTTTTCTGGTGCCCAGACAATTTATTTTAAATAAAACCAGCCTGTGTTCAAATCCAAGCATTGTTTCTTACTAGCTGTGTGAGCTTAGGCAAGTCATTCTCTGAGCTGATGTATGCTTAGTGCTTAGTAAAATTCCTGGTATATGGTGTGTGTGTGTGTGTATATATATATGATTCCTATGATTAAATTTCATTCTATAAGACTCCATCTTACTGGCAGACATGCTCTAGAGACTCTCTCTCTCCTGAGCTCACCTTAAAGAAATAGTTGGCCATGTTGGGAGGCCTATGTGCAAGGAGCTGAGGGGTGGCTTCTAGAAGCTGAAGGCAGCCTCCAGCCAACAGCCAGCCAGAAGCCAGGGCCCTAAGTCCTATAACCAAAAAGAAATGAATTCTGCCAACAATGAGAGTGAGCTTGGAAGTGGATTCTTCCCCAATCTAGCCTCCAGATGAGAACACAGCCTGGCCAACACATTAATTGTGGCCTTGTGAGACCCTAAGCAGAGAACCCAGTTAAGCTGTCCCCAGATTTCTGACTCACAAAACCTGTGAGATAACTATGTGTTGTTTTAAGCCATTAAATTTGTTCGCAGCAATAGATAATTAATACAATCACCAAATCACTTCAAGTTAGGTCCGATTTTGCAGCCAAACAAGTTATGAAAAAACTTTCAGTTTTCAGAGCTTTGAAATTTGTAATTGTGAATAAGGGATTGTGGAACTACAGGAAGCACTGATTAAGAGAATCAAGGGAGCAGGAATCTCAGGCTTGGAATTGGTAAAATTTTGTTTTCATATGGTTCTAACATTTACCATCTGTATTTTCTGGGTCAAGGCCCTAAAACTATTTGAACCACAGTCCATAATACTCATCTACCCTTGCATTGCTTTGAGAGTTGACTAAATATTAACAACAAACATTATGTCCCAGACACTGTCCTAAGCATTTTACACATGTTGATGCATTTATTTTTCATGACAATCCAGTGAGGTAAGAACTGTTAATATTTTTATTTTTTAGCTGGGGAAACTGAGGGGGTTATTTGCCTGGGGTGACCCAGCTAATAAATAGGAGAGCAGGAATTTGAACTGTCTGCACAGATAACCGTACTGGTTATCACATACCTTGATAGCTCCTTAACATTTTCTTCACATCAAAGTAAAGCTCAGAAACATTGCACACAGTATGAACCTCCGTAGAGATGGCCTCTGGTGTTTCCAGCTTCACAGCCCAACTCCTGGGATAAGCAGAGGCCAGAGACTTCTTCAGTGGGACATTCCAGTCAGCTCTATATACCCATACCCCTTCCCTCCTGCTTTCATACAGGACTTACCTGCTCAAAGTGTCTTTCACATCCTATAGAGAAAAAAAGACAAAAAGTAAGTGTGGGAACATCAGTATTTCATGGGGGTTGGCATATGGGGCTGTTCTTTATAAATGCTCCTTCCAAACATGTAAAGAGAGTGACCTTAGCCTTCGATATTGATGGATACCCAGATAGAATGATTCCCATCCCAGCCCCCTGGGATATTTAGCATGGTAGGATGTTTATCAACCTCTGAGTCTGTTATCTTCCTTGCTGAGGCCTGTGGAGAGCTGTAGTGTCTGCAGTTGCATTAGCCTGTGGGCTGCTTGGGGAAGAGGACCAGGAGGTTTGCCCATGCTCCCTCTGACAAGATTCATTTTCAGTGACCTAATTTCCTTCAGAGTGAGCCCATATTAGAGATTCCTTATCACAGAGGTCCTTAGTGGTGAATCCATGCATAGTGCCTGACTCTGGGCCATTAAGGTAGGCAGCAGGTAACACATGGTGGTGGAGCAGTCATGCTTCATTCTTAACCTTACAGTGTAAGCTCCAGTTCTATTAGTAGGAACTAGAATAAACAGCTCCAGGCATTGAAGGAAGGCCCCATAAGAGCTCTGGAGCAAGGGCTCTACAAGCAAATCAGCAGAAAGGTTATCACTCATTTTGGCTGCCTCATTTTATCACCCACCAGTCATCTGGAGGAGTATTTCAGGACACAGTTTGACAGACAGGGTTCTGTGCACGTGGGCCAGGGGCAAATGGTAGTAAAAGTTATTCCATGGTTTTGTTTGGCCAAGGAACCCACCATAGCCACCAGAGGGCGTGTATTTTTCTGATGAACATAAAGGCACCCTATAGACTAGTGAAGGCCACCCTGAAGATATTGACGTATATCTAAAAGAAACATTATTTTAAATTCCACACGTTAATGTGCCAGGCAGGCCTTGCCAATCTTCCTATGCTTCCTCACCAGTCTTCTCTTAATAGCTCAGGAATAGACGCACCTTCTTTCCTTCTTCCAAGTGCACAGCCTCACCTGCAGCAATTTCTGGGCTGAGCCCTGACATTTCGCCTCTAGTTCCAGGATGTGGCTCTCAAGTTCATGGCTCTTCTGTTCCAGATTGGCCTCATTGTCTCTCAGTCTCCTCAGAGTCTGCTCTTTTTCTTTCTCTAGCATCCATAAGTAAGCCTTCTCCTCCTCACGCAGGAAGCTCTGGAGATTCTTAAATTCAGACTGGATTTTTTGCCTCTGAATGTTTATCTTCTCCTAGAGTCAAGAGAGTATGCTCAAAAGGTGGAAACAACCCAAATATCCAACAATGGATGAGTTGATAAACAAAATATTGTATCTAGATACAATGAAATACAATTCAGCCTTAAAAAGGAATGGAATTCTGATACATGCTACAACATGGATGAATCTTGAAGACATTATGCTAAGTGAAATAAGCCAGAAACAAAAGGACAAATATTGTGTTATTCCACTTATATGAGTTACCTAGAATAGTCAAATTCATAAAGAAAGCAGAATAGTGGTTACCAGGAGTTGGGAGAAGGAAAGAAGAAGGAGTTGTATAATAGGTACAGAGTTTTAGTTTGGGATGATGAAAAAGTTCTGGAGATGAATAGTGGTGATGGTTGCACAATAATGTAAAAGCACATAAGGCCACTGAACTGTACACTTAAAAATGGTTAAAATGGTAAATTTTATGTCATGTATATTTTAACACACACACATACACAAAATAAAGTTTGTTCAGCTACTGTGACATTATTTTCCCCTGAGTCATTCAAGCAGGAAATCAAGTTCCCTGCTGCAGAGTCGTGCCTGGGAGGCAGGCACTCAGATGTGAAAGAGGTTGTCAGGATTCTCTATGATCACCTGATTCATTTCCTTCTTCTTCAGCCAAGATACAGGAGAAAAGAGGGGCAGGGGTACTAGATAATTCAATTATGGAACTAGGGCCAAGGTCAAACACTATCAGTTACAAAGATAAAAACGAGATTTTATTTGGGATATAAGAAGGTATCTCTGAGTCTGAAGGAATTTCTTGAAGCAAAAGCTTGTAATGAACATAACCAAGACTGATCTTTAAGACAACCAGGCTGGTATGAGAGTCCATGATTCTCAGCAGGAGGAGGTGTGGGTAGTAGGCTTTTCTAATAGTTAGAAATATTCATCCACCAGCCCAGGGTCCACTTAATCATCCTTATGTATAAGGCTGACAGAAATCAAATGATATATCTTATGAGAGACTCAGCTTTCATTTTGGGAGATATAGAATTGCAATTTCCATTAGTGCTTTCTCAATTCATGCAGTTTTTCAATGATTGTGATGTGGAAGAAGGGTCATTGACATGGTTTCCATATATATTAGTTATAATCAAGATCCCCTCCATTGCCCAAAATCCCAGAAATGAGGAAAGTAAGAGTGTCCTCTGAGAGTTCAAGTTCAATATCTGCACACAAAGGATCAGGGCAGAAGTGGGAAGAGACCCCTGAAAGAGGCATAATGGCTCACCAGCCTGCAGGATTTGACTACAAGCTGATAGATTACACAAATAGTTCCACAAAGAAATGCATCTCTGATCAGGGGCAGGCTGGTAAGCCATGGAAATAATATTAGAGACCCCATAGTCTATAGCTGCAAGTGTGTAGGTTCTTGCAACAGTTATGATCCTCCTTATAAATCAAATATATTTCCTTTATCAGCCTCATGACCTTGAGTAATATGATTCTCAACCTGGAGTGATTCTGTTCTCTTGGTGCTCACAAAGGTCGGTTTCTGAACATATAAGGCTGAGAGCCACATTCTGCACTGTGGTAAATGTTCCAACGCAATAAAGTTGAGGACTTCAAACCAAGAAGGTGCTTTGAGGTATTTAAAATTTGAAACCCAGTCAAGGATGGCCCTAGGTAAATAGGCACACCAATTCTGCTTCTCCGGACTGAGGTTTGGGGATCCTAGCCAATTACTATTGAAAGGTGGCAAGAGTTGGAGATAAATTGTCATAGATGTAGACAACCAGGGGCATAAAAACACATAATAGCTGCTTCTTTGGGTTTCATCTATTCAGTCTGGTTTAGTGAGAATAAACCATCGTTGTGCTTTGCCCAGTCATCCCCTATGCCTAAGCTCTCAGATGGAAAATAGCTTGAGATCAATAAACCAAAATTCTTACTTTCCATTCAGTTATTTGCTTTGTTGTGAACACCTTCAGATTCATACATTCGTCTTCCAGTTGCCTCAATTTTGTGACAGCTTCCTGAAGCTTTTCCTGGAGAAATCAGGCGAATAAAGTCTATTTAATTTGACAACTCTTCATTAGGCATCTAAGGGGAATCCCAGCCCTCTAAGACTATTAGAATAACATTGAGTATTTATTGAGTCCTTATACTTTTCCAGGAAGCATCCTGAGGCCTGTATGTGCAGTAACATATTTGATCCCCTTGGCAACCCTGAGCAGTTGGTAGGATTTTTAACATCATTTCTGTGCTGTAGAAACTGAGGCTTAGGAAGGGGTTAAATAACTTGCCCAAGGTGCTAAAACTGGTAGATGGTTGAGCTGTGATTCCAACCTCATCTGTTGACCCAGAGCCTGAGCTGTATCCACCACTACAGTCTTACCAGGGAAATATTGCACACAGAACAAGATAATACTCTAAAGGAAGATTTTATAAAATAATTGCTGAATCAAACATAACCAATGCCAGAGTGTTTGGCACACATGGAACTTTGTATATATTATGATGAGTCAGGAAGGAAAGACCAGGATGCCACCTGAAGTATGAGAAACAGTTAATGGAAGAAGGGAGCTCTGATATCTTTTGAAGGATGGTATCACAAAGCCGATCTAAAATGATTTAGTATCCATATCAAGCTTTTAGGTCATTTTTCAAAATAGTTTCTCATATTTTCATGGAAAGCAATTTTAAGCTGAACCAAATTGCTAATTGTGGTCAATACTAAGAGAATTGGCTCCTGTCCTCTGTAAGCCCAATAAGTATATTCATTAATTCTCTAGCGCTCTCAAGAAAGGGCTCTATGAAACTTGTTAGGAGAAGACTGTACTGCCCTTGCTATGTGCCAAGTACAATTCTAAGCTTTATATATATTAATGTCCTTAAATTTTATAAGAACCTCCTGGGCGTGTATATTGGGGAGGGAGGGGACTGCCATTATTCCCATTTACAGATGGGGAAACCAAGGCATTAAGACATTAAATAACTTGCTCAAAGTTACCCATCTAGTAAGTGGCAGAACTAAGATTTCAAACTAAGCAGTCTGACTCCTGAGGCTTATAACCATTACCCTGTGCTGCTGCTGCTTTTCTTACTACTTGGTGGGAAAGCAATTCCAATCAGAATATCCCCATTACAGTAATTAGCTGCTCCATGGAGTTTAAAGAAAACCTGCCATGTGCTGAGTGGTGGTCGGTATTGACATGTCCTGATGGAGGACCCAGAACCTTAACACAAGACCACTTCTGCCTCATGGGGGAGGGAACAAGATGCCCCACACTGGGGAAAACATTTTTCTCAAATCTAAGCAGGGTGGAGAAGGACTCAGGCAGCAGGACTCTGCCCACTCTTTCATTCCACCGCAGGCTTCCTTTGCATGCTTTTGAGTGAGAAACTTAGGAGTTACCCTAAACCTCTCCCACTGCTTCATCCTCCACGACCAAATCCTTTCCAAATCCTTCAACTCCCCTTCCCAAATCTTGCTTGAAATTATCCTTTCCCCCCTTCTGACAGGAATAATCTGAATTTTACACCTTGATATTCCTTTTATTTTATCAGTGCCAGAATGCTCTTTTCAATGTCAACCTGATCCTTCACTCTGCAAATGAAAATCCCTCAGTGGCCAGTACTACTCCGTGCTGGGATTTAGACTCTGAGCTGATACCAAGGTTCTGGGCCCCAACTTCCTTTCCCATGCCATCACCTGCCTTTCCCTACACACAATCACTGACCTGGTCACAGCGAGTCAGGAGATGTCCCATGGCTGTGGCTTTGCACATGTGGTCCCCTCTGTCTGGATGCCCTCTTTTTTCTCCATACTTCTATGTGGTTAATTTTTAAGTGTCTTCAGGAGTCACTTATGGGAAGGCTCCTCAGATAACACTCCCCATCCGCTGATCCCTCTCCCTACCACAAAACCAGGGGATTCCAGGCTGTCTTTTTTGCTGGTTTGTCTTCTGTGCTAGACTGTAAGATACCTACAAGGTGATGTGTCTTGGTCCTCTGTGTTTTCAAACTCTCACATGGTCTTGCCCATTGTGGTTTCTCAAATTAAATACACTGTGTGAAGCAATAAAACATGCAGGTGTGGGTTTGAGCACATTGCATTCTAGAGCAAAGAAAAGTTCGTCATAGCAAGAGTGGATAGAGACAAGAGTCTGACCAGCACATTGAAGGTCAGGATGGATAGTTAGGACTTGATTCAGTGAGGACCCATAATAAACTGTTTTTCAGAAGAATAACATGATGAAAGCTGAATTTCAGGATTATAATCTTGGGTTTCAAGCTAAATAATCTCAGATCTCAGGGAGCAGCATGAGACTGGGTACTTGCCTCTGGCCTGCACACTCACCTTGTAGCCTTGGCATACATCTTCAACAAGACCTGTGGTGTGCCCTTTGTGCTGTGGTGTCCGTTCACAGCGCCAGCAAATGAGCTGGCCCTCGTCTTCACAGAACAGGTGGAGCTTCTCTCCGTGTTCCTCACATGGCATTTCATGGTCCATCTCCTTCATGGCTTCAATGAGGCTTCCCAGCTGCTTGTTGGGCCTGAGGCTTGCCATTTGAAATGGAGCCCGACACTGAGGACAGGAGAACGTCTCCAGCCACGGTTCCATGCGCTGTAGGTTCTTAATGAAGCCCACTATGCATGAGTGGCAGTAGCTGTGTCCACAGCTGATGCTCACCGGCTCAACCATGAGGTTCAGGCAGATGGAGCAGGTGGCTTCCTCCCTCATCTTCTTAGTGGTCGTGGATGAGGCCATGGCTTTTCCCGAAAAGCTCTGACGCTGGATCTAGAGGCAGAGATGAAGCAACCAGAACTTTTCCACAGTGATGGAAATACACCTCACCCAAGCTTCTGTTCAATGCACTGGCTGCCACTGGCCTCCACAGGACATTTTCTCTCTAGACAGAAGAAACAGATTGGAATTTAGAAGATGCATACAATGTAGCTATGTTGTGAAATATGGTAGTGACTATCACATGTGGCCACTTGAATTTAAATTAATTAAAATTAAATAGAATTAAAAATTCAATTTCTCAGTTCCACTAGCTATATTTAAATTGCTTAATAGCCACAAGTGGCTACTGGCTACATGATAGCCCAGATATAGAACATTCCATCACTGCAGAAAGTTTCCTTGCTGAGAGAGATAGAGAAGCAAGGCAGACTTCCTCACAAAAGTTGCAGCAAGAGAGAGAAGTCGGTGAGGGAGTGTGAAACTCATTTCTACTCTAATGAACATCAAGAATAATTAGTGCCAGAATGATTTCTTTGTAACTGGTAGTAACCCTTAGGTAATTGGGTGGTCTAAGATGGATTCCATTGACACAATCACCTTCAACTCTATCGGAACCCCCACTCCCGGTTCTCTCTACCCTCTCTCCACAAAAAGTTAATAAAGTCTCAGTGGAGACCCAACCAGGATGGTAATGAAAGTAAACAATCAACCAGAAGAACCAGTTTGTCCTTTTTGCCCTCCCTGACCTGAGGGAAGGAGAATTGGAAAGAGAGCTGAGAAGCTAAGGAGTTGGTCCTGGGGAGCAGAGTTCCTGGCGAGCTAGGGAGGTGGCTGTCTCTTCTAGACCAAGATTTGTCTCCCAGAAGAAGTTCAGGGTGACTGGAACACACAGAGTTTGCAGAACCCACGATGTGGGGGAAGTGGGAAGCAGATAGTCGGGTCTCTGTGGGATCCCAAGTGCTGGACCCTCTCATGTCCACCAGTGCGAACCTGACAACCAGAGACAGCAGAGGAGGGACAAGGAGCAAAGGAGTCTGCCCTTCACCCACTGCTGCAGCTGCTTCGGGAACCTAGCTTTGCTCCCCATTTTCCACTCCTGGGAGTTTGTCAAGGAGGGGAGCGGAGGCAGGAGGAAGTTTAAGGAGTGACCTTTCCTTTGAACGGTGCCAGAACTAAAAACGGATTCAGCTCAAGTTACCAGATAGCCTATTTCCCTCTAATAACCAGGACCAGTCTCTTGGAGCCATAGAGAATTTATTTTGGAGTCTTCTGTTCCTTGACAGGTTATTTCTCCAAAGGATACACCAGGCTTCTCTCTCCTGGGGAGAAGGCCTTCCCCTCTTCCAAGGCCACAGGGTGCCTATCCTGGGCCTTCACTCACCTCACATCCTGGATCTTATGAGATTTGGAATGGAGTCTGGTGAAAGACAAAGCAAACGGGGTGAGAGCTATAAAGCAAAGTTCCGACCATTTTCAGAGTTTGAGCAGGCTCTGTTATCAGGAAACATACTCCCCCTCCCCCTGTCACCCACGACCATATACTCACCATATCCCTCCCCCGAGAAAACCGTGACCAGGACCTTTTCTGCTGCCTTCACCACACAGCAGGCAGCCACATATTCGCTGCTAGTCCCTCCGGAGCTGCCTGGATGAGGAAGTGATCTCAGAGTGGATTAAAATCAGAAGTGAAACTACTTGCGGGAGGCGGGGCCCTGTAGGATTCGAGGAGGAGACTAGTGAAATTACTGTTACCTTTTTGCACTCAACTTGTCCTGAAAGGGAGGGGAGACAGTAGGGAAAATATCCTTTTACAGCTCTAAAAAGAAGAAGCAAATTAATAACCCAGTAAACTATTTGGTGACCCCAGCGTGGAGCATCTAAAATCAGGAAGCCTGCAGAGTTCACACACTCTGACTTGGGGTCTTTCTACTTCTGCCACCAACTCCCTTGGGATCCGTAAGCCTTTCTGACAGATGTTATTTTTTGCTATTTTTAGGTGGCTCACTGTTTATAACTGCTCTGAAGGATGTGGTGAAAAAAAGTGTGGTGACAGTAAGCAGGCATTGGTATCACAAAATTTGCTCAAGCCAGTCTCCCATTCTTCTCTGCCCTGTTGCTGTGTCTCATTTGCCTCCTCTATGTTCCTCTGCAGGATTCAGATACTTATCAATAGTCAGTCAGCCACCCAGGACAGCAAAGGGGAACCACTAATGGCCCAGCAGTGAATGGCCTCAGCTGGAAGCTGTGTGAGACCTGGAGCCCACCACTCTGCTCTGCCCTCTGTGGGGTCGAGGTCGAGTACTTAGTGACTCAAGTCCAGCCTCTCCAGTTCAAAATAAGAGGAAAAGTACTGTCCCCACTCAATTTAGAGTTATTATTTAATGGGAAAAAACAGATTACCACCTCAAAATAAAACCTTGCCACATTTATAGCCTCAGGTGTAAGAGGCATTTATGATAAGTGTACAATAAATGTTTGTTTAGGAAATAAATATGTTCAGTGGTCCAAGGGATCCTGTAAGAGAGGCTGAGGATACAGGCAGGGGAAATGAAACTTGGGCTCGGAGAGCTGCCTGGGGCCAGCTCTGGGCACCTGTCCTGGCTGGTCAGGTGCTGACCCTGATAGCCGTGTGGAGGAGGTCTGTGTTCAGGGCAACAGACCTGCAGAGGGAGCCTGGGGGGAGTACACTTCAGCCACAGTCCTGCTGGTCCAGCAGCGCAGGCGGCAGGCAAAATTGTGAAACAGGTTTCTCTCTTCTCACCCCAAACAGGAGTCTCTCTTCAGCACTGCACCCTCCTGGGTGCTCGCAGAGCCTCTCGCATTTTGCCATCCAGTGACTCATCATGACCCCACATGTCCTGTGGTAGCAGGCCTGACACACCCTACATGACACACCTATTCCTTACACAACCAGCACACAGAAGAAAAAGAATGAGCCCCCAATCCCTGATCCGATGATGACTCCTTACGGATCCCCATGACTTTAATTGTTGTGGATGTGACTCTACTCAGGCAGAGCTCATCCAAAATTTGTCCTGCCAAAGGATCCGAAAAAGGAAGCTAGTGAAGGCCAAAAAGAAAACAAACTACCGCTACCCACAAACAAGGCAAAAGCAACATCGTGACAGAGTCTGTCTTGTGACAGCTGCCCAACCTTGCACCTGTTTCCTGTGGCATGAAGGAGGGCCTGGTCCATGCAGAGAGCTGCAGGTCTTAGAAGGGGATAGGGGATGTATATGAGACTTCAGAGATATCTTCCCCAAAGGTGGACTTAGGGAGAGACCAATAGGAGCTGCGCAAGTGGGGAATACATCACCTTCAATAAGTGAGGCTCAGCTTGACCCCATGAATCTGGGATGCTGGAAGCCAGAGACCCAGCATGGAGAGTGCGTCACTGGAGTCTCTTTAAAAAGGCTGGCACTCTGAGTGTCCCTTCTGTGGGGAAGAGTAATACCCCCGATATCCCTAGGGTGCCTTCCCTCAATGCCTTCAGGTGTCCCTTCTCAACCAGGCTTACCCTGACCACCTGTTTACAGTTGCACCCCTCGCTTACTCCCAGTCCCGCTTACAGTGCTCTGTTTTGTTCCCATGGCACTTACTTATCACTGAATATTTTATTTATTTGTCTTGCTTATTGTCTGCCTCATGCATGAGAATGCAAGTTCCACAAGGGTGAGGATTTTTGTCAGTAGTTTTCACTGATGAATCCCAAGTGTCTAGAATAGTTCTAGGAATAGTGATATGTGTTAAATGAGACAGTAAATTTCTGAGCTGCACTAAACACACATCATAAGAGGAAGTGTGGTGTGGGTGATATGTGAGGTGTGTGATGATGTGTGCTGTATGGAGTGTGTGAAGCATGCCTGTGTGTGTGATATGGTATCTGGTATGCGTGCATGAATGAATGTGTGTGTATGTAGTATGTGTTGTGGGGTATATGGTGGTGTGTGCTGTATGTGTTGTGTAATATGTGGTTTGTGTTTGTGTGATATGTGTGATGGGGTGTGTCTGTGGTGTGTGTGTATGTGTGTGTGTGTGTATGTGCATGTTGGAGGTGGCAGCCAGGTTAATGTGGGGGATGGTACCAGAAAGTACCAGAATCCATGACAACAGCTGGTCCGGAGAGCTGTTTCTCTCCCTCCTGTAGTATATATTGATGATTTGAATTGAGAGAAAATGAAAATGGAAGAGAAGTGCTGGGCCTCTGCGAAAGAGAGCTTAGAGGAGATTTGATAACAGCACACTACAAAAGTGATCTTGTGGACAAACTTTTCAGATAACCAAAGAGGGGAGGAGAAGCACTACTCAGAGGTAGGAAGAGAGAACACAGGATTATGGTTAAAAAAAATTAGCCTAGGAGGAAATTGATCTGAACTACTCAGAATGACAAACATGACAAATGACTTCTCCAAAGGAAAACTTAGCATCCATTTCAAATAGTTTGTACCTATATCTCTCATGACATAGATAACTGTTTCATTGAAGCTTGCTCTGAGGTGAGCCGGGGCTGAAAGAGGACAATTTTCCTTGTCTGGCCCCAGGACCAACTGGTAATAACACACCCACACATTTATTGAACATTTGCTTTGCACCAGGTCCTATGCCAACACTCTCCAGAATAAAAATTCTGGAGTTGAAAGTATAATAACTGAAATGAAAAATTCACTAGAGGCATTCAAAAGCAAATTTGAGCAGGCAGAAGAAAGAATCAGTGAATTCAAAGATAGGTCAGTTGATATTACCCAGTCTGAAAAACAGAAAGAAAGAATGAAGAAAAATGAACAGAGCTTCAGAGACATGTGGGACACCATTAAATGTACCATCATAGGCATAATGGGACTCCCAGAAGTAGAGAAGAGAGTGGAAATTAAACAACATATTCCTAAATAATCAATGAGTCAAAGAGGAAATCACAAAGGAAATTAGAAAACACTTTGAGATGAATGAAAACGAAAGTGCAACATACCAAAACTTATAGGATGCAGCAAAAGCAGTGCTTAGAACAAAATTTATAGCTGTAAATGCTTACATTAATCAAGAAGATCTCAAATCAAGAACTTAGTCTTTTACCTTAAGAAATTACAAAAAGAGCAAATTGAAACCAAAAAAAGCAGAAGGCAGTAAATAGTAAAGATTAGAGCAGAGATAAACAAAATAAAGAATAGAAAAACATCAATGAAAACAGAAGTTTGTTCTTTGAAAAGATCAATAAAATTGACAAACCTTTAGCTAGACTAACCAGAAAAAAAGACAAAAGACACAAATTACTAAAATATGGAATTGAAGAGGGGGCATTACTACCGACCTGACAGAAAGAAAAGGATTATAAAGGAATATTATGTGTAATTATATGCCAACAAATTAGGTAACTTAGATGAAATGGACAAATTCCTAAAATCACATAAACTGTAGACCTTTCTCAAGAAGAAATAGAAAATATGAATAGAGCTATGACAAGTAAAGAGATTGAATTCGTAATCATAAACTTTCCACAAAGAAAATCCCAGGGACAGACGTCTTCACTGGTGAATTCTACCAAATGTTTAGAGTTAACACTGATCTTTTGCAAAGCCTTTCAAAAAATAGAAGAGGAGAGAATATTTTCCAACTCATTCTATGAAGCCAATATTACTTTGATACCAAAACTAAACGAAGATATCGCAAGAAAACTAGAGACTAATATCCCTTTTAAAATAGGCACTAAAATCCTCAACAAAACATAGTAGTCCCCCCTCATCTGCGGTTTCTGCTTTTTGCGGTTTTAGTTACCCGTGGTCAACCGTGGTCCAAAAATATTAAATGGAAAATTCCAGAAATAAATAATTTATAAATTTTAAATTGCATGCCATTTTCAGTAGTGTGATGAAATCTTGCCTGGGATGTAAATCATCCCTTTGGCCAGCGCATCCACACTGTATACGCTACCACCTGTTAGTCACTTAGTAGCCATCTCAGTTATTAGATCGATTGTCATGGTATAGCAGTGCTTGTGTTCAAGTAACTCTTATTTTACTTAATAATGGCCCCTAAGTGCAAGAGTAGTGATGCTGGCAATTTGGATATGCCAAAGAGAAGCTGTAAAGTGCTTCCTCTAAGTGAAAATGTGAAAGTTCTCAACTTACTAAAGAAAGAAAAAAAATCGTATGCTGAAGTTGCTAAGATCTATGGTAACTTTTATTAGCGTATATTGTAACAATTGTTCTATTTTGTTATTAGTTATTGTTGTTAATCTCTTACTGTGCCTAATTTATAAATTAAACTTTATTTATTTATGTATAGGAAAAAACATAATATATATAGTGCTTGGTGCTGTCTGTGGTTTCAGGCATCCACAGGGGGTCTTGGAATGTGTTCCCCAGGGATAAGGGGGAACTACTGTATTAGCAATCTGAATCCAGCAACATATATAGAGGCTTATATGCCGTGACCAAATAGGATTTATCTCAGGAATGCAAGACGAACTCAGCATTTGTGAATCAATCAATACAATACACTATATTAATAGAATAAAGGACAAAACCAAATGATCATCTCAATAGACAAAGAAAAAGCATTTGGCAAAATCCAACATCCTTTCACTATAATAGCATTCAACAAAGTAGGAGTATAAGAGCACTTCCTCAACTTTGTAAAGGACACA